CTTCTACAAACAAAAAATGAAGACTGCTAGGCAGTTTTTTAAAAGCCTTTCTATGAGTGCATCTACATTGTAGAAATAATGCAGTTTGACACCACTTTAAGTTCTGTAGCTCCATCCTATAAAATTCTGTAGTTCGTAGTTTTACAAGGTCTTAAACCTTCTCTGCCAAAGCTGCAAACCTTATGATTCTGTAGAATGGAGCCAAGACAGTTAAAGTTGTGTCAAACTGCATTATTTCTAAAGTGTAAATGTACCCTGAGTTCCTACTGTACTTTTTTTTAAAGCCACTTTAGGAAAGAAAAATAGGGATGTGCATTTCTACAAGGTATTTTGTCCCCTATATGCTAGCTTACACAGTTAATGTTGCATTGTGCATATTGTAAATCTCAATATTTCAGCTTCCTTTTGAATCTCATTTTTTCATTTTTGAAAGTAATTTTCTAGTCCTTATGAGGTATGAAGCTGCTCTTGAAGGTGTGTGTACAGTGTTTGGTGAAATTTCAGAAGTTGCTAAATAATATTTCCAAGGTATTATGATAAGGACTTCAGTGTTTTGTACAACCCTCCTCTCCTCTCCTCCCACCCCAACTATCAGAAGAAAAACAAATTATGGACAGTAATAGAATATCAAACACACTTGCTCAATTTGTGTAGTTTGCACATAATTCACTGTTGCTTTCTGCAAAGTTTGGGTTACCTTTGTGCAGACTGATTGTATTTCTTTTTAAAAAGCAGTTTATCATTTGAATTAATTATTATTATTATTATTATTATTATTATTATTATTATTATTATTATTATTATTTGGAGCTGGAGATACAATAGTTTCTATGCAGGTGTTCCCTGAAATCAGAAAATTATTTCAAGAGTTCCTCCAGGGTTAAAAGTTTTGAGAAACTATGGTGGTGTAAACTATGGTGCAATAGAGGGGAGAAAGTGGACTTCTTGTAGATATACTTTTTCAAATGAGTGCTTGTGTTTGTTAGTTTTACAAGAATACACTTTTCTTCCTTATGCACAAAGAAGAAAATATGTGATGCATGATATGGAAAAAATGCTCCATCTTTCGATAAAGTGCCAAATGCAAGATTGTCTTTCAATAAGCCAGTAACAATAGTTCCTTTCTGTTGTGTATGTTTTGATGGTGAGGTGTTCCTTTTTTTTTCACCATCTATAGAATTTACACAAGGAATACAGATTTGATACTGCCAACAAATTAACTCAATAATTCGATACTTAAAGGCATAAACCAGTGTGCTTGTCAACAAAAATTAAGATTTTGTTGCATTCTGGTGTTCTTCCCCCTGCCACCCCCCCCACATCCAAATTAGATAACAAAACAGTTTATGTTATTTAATTCTGGAAAATGTGGATAAATTAGTAGTAGACAGTGCTTGGTTTCTGACAAAGCAGACTGCAAAAATGTTCATTTAGGCTTTTCTGCACTAAAGATGAACATAAGGAGTATAGTGCCCTGTGCCAGTTTTACATCAGGAAGATGAAGGAAGGAGAGTGAGCATTCCCACCATCTTGTATAACAAAACTTGGCATTTCCTTAGAAAGTATGGTGTTTCCATCCAATGAAGTGAAGCACTGTGAAAAAATATTTTCTTGGAATGTGATACTCTCCAGCAATGCTGTTGGCCAGTATTATAATTCATTATAATTATATTTTTCTTTCTAGGCATCACTGTGATGGGAAGGTTGTTTTCAGAGTGTGCCATTAGCTAGAATTTTAGAGATGCTACTCTTAGAGGAAAACTGTAGACTTCCACAGATGTAAAAGTAACAATAGGGCCGAAGGGAGAGAAAATTGATGGCTTTGGGGGGAATGTGTGTCTTTTAGCAGGAAGTTGAAGATCCTTCACATGCAGCTTTCTTGGAGGGTGTTGAGGGAGCCAAAGATCCTGGCAGTGTTGCCACTGTGGAACTTGCAGAAGCTGAATCTGGACCATCACTGGAAGATGAAACCAGGCCTGGTGGCTACCACTGCAGCCAGTGTGACCGGGTTTTGATGTCTATGCAGGGTCTACGATCGCATGAGAGAAGCCACTTGGCATTGGCCATGTTTACTCGTGAAGACAAGTACAGCTGCCAGTATTGCTCCTTTGTCTCTGCATTCAGGCACAAGTAAGTTTGTTTTAGATGCTATTGCTACTAGCTGATGTTCAGTTATCACTTGCACATGTGCTGCATTATGCCCTATTTCAGTATGGAAGCACATGTTTTTATTTTATTGATAAACTGATACTAGATTGACATTGCACCAAGGGGACCAAGGATGGTAATTGGATGATAATGTGCCATGAGTGGTTCTTCGTTGTGGCCTTCCAACTTTGTAGATATTGCGACATTCTCTTAGAGACATCAGACTTCATCCATTGGGGAATTTTGTGAGAAATCTAGAAAAGATACTAGATTGAATGGCCACAATGATTTACAAACTTCCTGACATCCCTTTATTAATTTAGATTTTTTTAAGGTTTTTGTTAACAATATGCAACCCTACCCCGAATCCTAGGAACAACTATCATAAGGCTGCCAGTTTTAATCACCATACTAGAAAGCAGACTATTTTAAAACATGCTTAGCAATGTGTTTCATATCTTCCTTCATGGAGCTAGCTAAATTGTCTCACAACTGTGCATCAGATCAGGATGAACTGATCCAGCAGTTAAATTTGTTGCCTGGGAATATGGGGATTTTCAGTCTGAAAATACCACTGTTCATAGTTCTGGTGGAGAGTTTGAGCTATCAAGGATGTAAGGGCACATGTAGATTCCTTTTCATTCATTGACTTAGATATAGGAAGGTTAAACACCTGAAAAGTCTTCACACATTCCCGTTGCTTCTGTTTCTAGAGACAGTCTACATTTTCTTGTGTTCATCTGTGGGATAACATCAGTACAATTTTTTATGTTAATTTTAGAAATATTGTTTCCATGCCCACCGTTCTACTTAAGTTTCTGAATGATGATGGTCAAACTGTATATGTTTGGACCTGAAATGCCTACCCATTTCTTTCTTTCCACTGTCTTACCATGAGTGCCTACCCAAATACTATAGGCCAATGAATGTTTTAGTATTGCATAATATGGAGAACCAGGTCCATTATGCTCAGTTTAACATCGTTGTTGTTGTTATGTGCCTTAAAGTTGGCTCAAAATTATGAGAAACTTATCAGATAGTTTTCTTGGAAAGATGGAACCTTGTTATTGCCTTTCTCTGAGGCTGAGAGATTGTGACTTACCCAAGGTGAGCATGGATTTGAGCCCCAGACTCTTGAATTTCTAGTCTCAAAGCACTACACCACATTTGTTTCCAGTTTAACATATTGTACAGTTGTCCCTCCCAATTTGCAGGGGATCCATTCCAGACCCCCATCACCCCCCGACAAAAATAGAAAACTGCAAATATTCAAGCCCCATTGAAAATAATGGTGATGTGCTCCCGTGCATGCACACACCATTTTGCCCCTCCTGGCTTCTTAGCTGTGGAAATTCAAAACCACGAACAGGAAGTCAGCTAATCCAGAGGGACAACTGTATTTATTTCTATATATTCAATCACAGAACAAGGATTAATGGAATTCACTGGTTTTCCAAAATTGTAATCTATGAAGTTTTGTTGAGTGTGAGTATTTGACTGGAAGTGGACCTCTGATGTCTTTTCTCCATTCTCCTCTACACAGATGAACTATGACTTGATTTTCTTTCTCTGGGACTCAATTGTTTTCCCTCCTAACTCTGGCAAATTTTTGTTTTAGTCCTTTCTGGCTACTCTCCTGATTTTTCTTGTCTTTTATTGAATGGAGATGTGGAACCACTAGGGGGCTACATTTACAGGATGACAGGGATTAGATTGCATCTGTGGTTATTTTTAAAGGCACTGAAACATTTTGACATGTTTTTCTAGTTTCAAGGCTCTTTTTTTGTTTGCATTTTGGGTTTGTTTCTTGGCAAGTGAATTTTTATTTTATTTTATTACACTGTTGTATTCCATAGTGGAAATACAATTCCTGATTTTTAGTAGATTTTCTTGGTGTAGTAGTCTTAAATCTTCATTTTTTAATGCAACAAATTGAGGCTCTTAACTTATACTCATTGTAATGGATCATGGATCTAATTGTGGATCAGCATTTCTACATTTGATAGATAATACATTTTTGTTATATCTTTCCCCAATAGTTCATAAATAATTGGAACAAAGAGAAAAGGCTCACTTCTGATTTTGTGTGTGTGTGTGTGTGTGTGTGTTTTGGGAGTTGTTTCCTGTTTTCAGCTAGGGATCTCCTAAATACCAAAAATGTAAAAGTTAAAAGAGAAAATATTTTCAGACTTTATCAGTACAATTTAAAAACCATGGTTTTTAGTTTTCCTAATAATTAATCAAATATCCATCAATCCCTGATTTTTTAAAAAAACAAACACTAAAATTCATCCTACTAGTCCCTTTAATTCTGCAAAGTTTTTGATTCTGTAATAGTAAAAACAACAAAAACAAAAGATACTATGGACTGCTGAAAAGATAAATAAATGTGCCCTAAAGCAAATCAAACCTGAACCCTGAAATGAAGAGGATTAAGCTGAGGTGGTTGTACTTTGGAAAGATAATGAGATAATATGACTCTTTGAAAAAGGCAATAATGATTTGTATAGTGGAAGGCAGTAGGAAAAGACAGAGACCACATTATAGATGGATTTATTCAATCAAAGAAGCAACAGCACTGGGTTTGCAAGACCTGAGGAGAACTGTTGATGAAAGGGACTCTTATAGGTCTCATTCGTAAGGTGGCCATAAGTCAAAGTCAACTTCATGTAGCTGCAGTCCAGTGCACACTCATTAGGAAGAAATCCAAGGTTTATTTCAATGGGATTTATTTCTAAACATGTGGTTGTGGTTGTGTGCTTTGTTTCTGACATACAGCAACCCTAAGGTGACTCTGTCACAGGATTTTCTGGGGCTGAGTGTGTGTAACTCACCCAAGGTGACCCAGCCAGTGCCAACTGGGTAATTTGAACCCTGATCTCCGGAGTCATAGTCCAACACTCAAACCACTCTACCAAGCTGAGCAGGTGTATGTAGGATTATCAATACTTTAAGGACCAGGGACACATTATATTTTTAATGTGAATGATCTAATAGATCCGTAAATTCACCATGATAGTTGTCGTTGTTGTTGTTGTTTTTGTTTCAGTAAATGTTTTAGTATCTTACTGTAGTTGTAAATCGTAGGTCCAAAACACACTGCAGAAATAATCCAGTTTGAGACAACTTTAACTGCCCTTGCAGTTTAGCCTTCTCTGTCAGAGAGCTCTGGTGCCACAATAAACTACAATTTCCAGGATTCCCTAGCACTGAGCCAGGGCAATTAAAGCGATCTCAAACTGAATTATTTCTGCAGTGTGTTTTGGACCATAGTCCTCCCAATATTAAAGAAGCACAGCATCTGAACTACACCTTTTTGGAGACAATGTACTGGGTGTCTGGGATAAAGAACAAAGCTCTTTCCTTTTATATCCTGCTTGTGATTTTCCTGAAGAGCTTTCCCTAATCTGGCACACGCCAGATGTATTGTATCTGAGCTCCAACAATCATGAGCATGCTGGTTGGGGATAATGGGAGATGTAGTCCAACATATCTTGAGGGCACCCATTGAGGAAATGCGCACCTGGAACTGTCTGGCTTGCCAGGCTTGGAAATTAAATTCTGAACCTGGATGTATCATAACCTAATCAGGCAAAAGAAGAAATAAATATGTACATGCATGGGCATTTATTTATATTTATTTTTAGTGCATTTATTTTTGCTTTATTTATTTATATTTATTTATAGTGCATTTATTTTTGCTGGATTATTTTGCTCTGATACCAGTAATTTTATCAAAATTTACTTGTTTGCAGTTAAAAAATTGTTCCGTAATGTAAGGATTGTGACTGTGGCTTTAGGAAGATGTGCTCTTTTTTTGCACATGAAGGCACAAGCCTCATGGTGCAGAGCAGGAACCTCTCAGCCACCTGCTGAATATTTTTATTTCAGATGATAAACATTAAAATGAATGAACAATGGCAAGTCAGATAAAGAGGAAAGCACTCAAAGTTACTTCATATTTACACTGTGATTAGCTGTGAAAATTCCACTACCTCTTTCCTACATATTAACATACTGCAGTCATATTTGGAGTAGATGTAAAGGGATGGAAATCAGAATTGCCATCTGAATGCTTTCCAGAATTTTAAACTCTTCTGAGTTTTTGTTTTCCCTGACAGAGGTTCAACATTTCAATTTGCAGCACAAATAAAATGTTGAAATTGAAATTTGTTTTAATTTCATTTGAACAATTGAAAAATATGCAGAAGGGGGGGATTTCTAGGTCTGCTTGACTTCACATGCCATGCAGATTCTATTTGAACGTTATGAGGAAAATATTGGGCCTTTGCAGACTGCCAGAAATAGTGCACATTAAATTGAGGCACTGCCCTGGCTCAGTGCTAGGGAATCATGGGAACTGTAATGTATTGTGGCACCAGAGCTCTCTGACAGAGAAGGCTCAATGTCTCAGAAAAAAATACAGTTCTCATGACTCCCTAGCACTGAGCCAGGGCAGTGCCTCAATTTAATGTGCACTATTTCTGGCAGTCTGCAAAGGCCCATTGTTAAGGATAAAGGCAGATGAATTGAAGCAGCTGTATAGGTAAATTGAGTTAGGGTGGGCCCTTGCCTTTTTGGAAATCTTTGAGCAAAGGCTCTGTATCCTTCCGATGGCTGTGGACAGCTCTTGAATTCTAGCATTGAGCAGGAATTGGCCTATATGGGCTTCCAACACAATTTCCAAATCTATGATTCAGGGTTTTGCAGGTGTAAGTATCAAATTCATGAGTGCCCAAGCAACCAGGTTTTTTGTGATTTTGGCTGCCTTTGTTCATTCCCGAGTTTTCATTACAAAGTGAGTAATGTGTTGAGGGAAATGCCGTAGTTAGTCATGACATTAACTGGTCATATCATCTCTCAAATTGTTTTTTGATAACTGTCTGTCCTTGGCTTTATCAAACACTGTCCCTACTTGTGATCACCGAGTATGAGAGATGAACCAGATATGGCCCAACTTGCTTGTTTAATGGCTCACATCCTATGCTGCACTCTGACACACCTGTCATCCCATTTGTGAGAATTTATTTCTGCCAATACAAGCCAATGAAACCATGTTACAAATGCCATGATATATGCTCTGTTATTACTCAATTTTAGTTCAGATGATTTACATTCCCCCTTCTTTCCTTTTTGTTTCTCATTGCTGCTTTTCCCTTGACAAGTTTGGATCGTCATATGCAAGCTCACCATGGACATCATAAACCATTCCGCTGCAAACTCTGCCCATTCAAGTCCTCCTATAATAGCCGGCTGAAAACTCATCTGCTTAAAGCTCATGCTGGTAAGTCGTCTTCTTCTCTTCTATAATGAAGAAGGTCGCATACACACACATACACATGTATGGTGATGGTGGTGGGGTTCTGTTACTCATTCAGGTTGTAAATTTTTCAGTTTATTGTCCTCAGTGTACAACCAGTACAAAGTTGCAATGTGATACTGGAATTAAAGCAAAACGAAAATGAGCAGAATTCCTACTTGGTGAAGAGATGATCCTAAAGTGGCAGCTGGTCTGAAGTAGTCAGAACAAGAAATCAAATGGATTAAGCTGTAGTTTGGCAAGAGGTGTAAGAGAGAAGCAAAAATCAAAGGCTTGAGAGGTAGAGCCTACCAGTTGGTTTGAAGGAGCAAGGAGACTATTCTTACAATAAACATGCATGCTTTTGTAAGGAGACTTCAAGCCCCACTTTTGCATGTTGTGTTTTGAACTATTCATGATCTTCTTTGTTGCCTTGCATTTATTTTAAAATATTAGTAGAGTTGCTTGTTTTTCTTTCACTATGTGAACCCTGTCAATCCATCATAGGAGAGAGATCACTATGCATTCTTCATGAATATTATGGAACTAATCAGAGTTGGCTAAGTGGTTGTGTCAGTAGAGCAATAGGGAATGCTTGTAGGAAGGACATGAGGATGAACTCAAACATACAGATCTTGCTCAGAGGAAGCAGACCTTTACTTGATGCTCCGTTTGATGCATGTCTACATGTGCATTCCAGGAAAGTACATACTTATATACCTTATTTTCCTGCGTATAAGACTACTTTTTAACCTGCAAAATCTGTGGTTAAAGTGGGGGGTCGTCTTATACGCCGGGTATAAGGATAAGGAGGATAGAGGTGCTAAAATGCTATATTTTGACTGGGAAAATGGGAGATCGTCTTATACGCCGGGTCGTCTTATACGCCGGAAAATACAGTAGGTATTTTGATAAGCATTTCCATTATGCTTTTCAACCTACGGTCTGTATCCATTGAGACATTCCCACTGACAGAAGCTGCTGTCCCTCTTACTGCTTCAGGCTCAGTGTTCTCCCTAAAACCCTGTTTGAGAGGGTAGGGAAAAATTTTTTAACAGTATGCAATGCTACAGAGGGAGAGGAAAAGAGTCCTACACAACCTCAAGCCCAGAGTTGGATTTAGTTGGGTGCTTTCTATTTTTTGTTCATTACTATGTCAAAATAGGGGACATTGCCTTGGTTGCCAAGGGAAAGGGAAAGTGTTCCTTCTTGCCCTGCAAACACTTTTGAACATCCCTTTAAAAATGCTGCAAGTGGGGGCACTTTTTGATGGGTATCAAAATGTCCATGTTAATAAGTATGAAAATGTTTGTGACCAGAGAGCAGTACAGTATATAGGCTGCTAGATCTCTGAAGCCCAAACTTTGTATAATAACTCTTCTGCTGGGCAGAGGTGTGTGCTGGGAATTTAATCTGACCATAATATTATTTTTAGTCATGCTCTTCGTTAGCCCAGCCAGGTTGTAAAAAATCACCTGGACGTAATTAGGTCTATGTTGTTTTTCATTAGTTTATGGCAATTCTGGTGTTCATTTTAGTGCTGAGATATAAAGAGCTGTCTCTGCAGGGGTATATTTGCGTAGATAAACAGCAAGAATAATTTTGTGAATTTCTGTCAGGGTGCCCATTTCTAAATTAAATGTGGTTAGAAGCTGCCCTCAGTTTCATTTTTCATTTTGACTGGTGACAATTGTGTTATTTGAGCACATTGGCATTCAAAGTACTATCCATATGAAGTCCAGTTCTTGTGATTGCCAGTATTTTGATGAACATGATGTGGCTTTTCCTTGACACTTGTCCTGTGTCCAGTTATGGCATTCTTCTCCTTTATGCAGCAGTTCCATGTGCAAAGGAGTCCCCGGATTTTTTTTTCCTTTGTTTTTCAGTGGGAGGGTGGCTTTAGACCCAGGCACAGAATTGTCTGGATTCATACTGTGTGAGCACTAATTTAATGTTAACTCTTTCAAATTACTTCAAAACATATCACTGAGAATTTGTTTTACTGAATATGAGACATTTAGTTTCTATCCCTTTGGAGAAAGGTCAGTTATATCAATTCTCTTATTCTAATGATAATATTTATAGTATAGGTGGAAATATTTATAGTATTGGTGGAGTAACTGTAACCATAAATAACTCATGTGGTCCACAAGCTATTTCTCAATGTTGTAGTGATAGGTTTCAACAAGTGGTAAAAGATTATGATATCTTTTTAAAGTTGCAGTTTGATTATGCGTACCAGCTTTACCTACCTGAAGTATATTGTCTCTTTTTCCTTTAATTGTTTCTTCTCAGAAATCATATTGATAAACTTATTCACAACTGGGTTTTCCTTTGACTTCTATGCCCTGCCTAGCTGTACTTGATGAATGCTTTAAAAATTATAAATAGCTTGGATGGATAGTAACAGAATTTGAGATTATTCAGTGAAATCTACTTGCTACCACCTTGAGTAGCATTAGCCTATACTGTTTTAATAATGAGTTCAACAAAGTGGTAGAGAAGACATCTATCACTCTCTTCTATTAGCTGAAAAGGAGTGTGTGCAGAACCACTATGCCACTGAATACCATACAGCAAAGAGAGTTGTAGTTCATGTTTGTAAGCTTCTCAGAGACATTGGTTG